TGTGTGTGTGTGTGTGTGTGTCTAATAAGAAACTTAAACTAATCATATTCATTCATTCATTCATTCATTCTTTTAAATAATTTAACTATATATGTTTCTTATGTAACTAAAATAATGTAAAGAACACGAAGTATGATATTTTATCGTAAAAAAGTTGTATCTAATCTGATGAAAAATTATACGAGATAAGAAAAAAAAAAAAGGAGAGAAAAATAAAAGAAACAAAAGTAGTATTTATCGTTTACAAATGTTTTCCAAGAAAGAACCAATAAGCGATAAGTTTCATATAGACGAATCAAATTGTCCTTCAAAGACGCGGCACATGAGAAGTAGGCTTTAATACTTCACTTATATTCTTTTTACATGACACGCAAATATAATATATATATATAAGTGCTTATACATATATTTATATACATATGTATGTACATTCGAGTTAAGAGTACATATATAGTTATACTTATCTCTTTCTATTTGAATCATTCTTTCGAACAGGAAAAGGAAAAAAAATAAAAGAAATAAATATAGACATACTTCCAAGAAAATGTCATATTTATCATCCTAGTGTTTTTTTCTAACAGTCTCTGTTTTTATGATCAAACGTGATACACAAATAATGCATAAATTTGATACGGAAAAATAAATGAAAGTGATATCATTTGTCAATCGGCCACGTGTGTTCGGCCTTTTCCGACTTTTTTCGTGCCGATTCTCCCCCCACCACAACCCACGTGACAAACTAACCAATGATCTTTATAGTTCTCCTCAAGAAAGGCACACATATTTTATTCTTACGAACGTTTATCTATAGTGATCGTTTGACAGTGATCGAGGATATCGAGTATCTCATCTAATTGATTCTTTTTTCCAGTTTATAAATCGTTTCTTTTTTTGTATCTACTTTTTTTTTTTTCTGTTCTAATGTGTGACATAACGGCAACACGTGCGTGGTGACACTGTACATGAATCATTGACATCATTCTTGCAATTATCTAATTAGTTCTAATTATCCGATTCGTTAATTACGAATTTATTCTCGAATAACGTTCTTACTTCTTTTTTAATTGTCAATTTTTTTTTTGAAGACCACTGTAACGTACAATTAAATTATCAAGTTTTTTTTGCTACGAATTTAGAACGTTCATTTATTTTGTATGCATATGTATATATATATATATATATATAATTTGATAAAAGTGTTATATAAATTCAACTAATTGTGAGTTTTCTGACGAAACTTACTTGCACAAGCGTCACTAAAAACAAAAAAACCAAAAAACAAAATGTGCAACTTTAATTAAGTCATATTTGTAAAATAATTTACACCCGGTGGCAGGATTGATTAAATAAGTAAACAAAAAAGAGGTTAAGTTGTATCGTACAATTTAAACAAATGTCTTCGATATTCCTAGTGTTTTCTTATTTTAAAATCATTATGATTTGTTTCGGATAAAAGTTTAATTTTTAAATATAGAAAAGAAAAAAGAGAGATGTTCTAATGAATATAAGTTATTCGTATTATTGCGTTTTTTCCATAAGGAAGAATTGCAAAATTATAAAAATGTTAAATTCTGATGAATATAATGATTATTTACCTAGCAATGTTCGCATTTATGAAAAACCATTTCAAGATTACGTCGTTTATTACGTCGTTAAAGGAGATCCAAAGCTTCGTTTGCGAACACTTAGGCACTCGTCATCTTATTCAGGTATGCTGAGGATGCTGAAAAATAACACCCTTCTTCTTAACAGTTGTTACATTTTGCTTACGTCGAATTTTCTTTATTATAGGAGATCTTATTCGAGGCTCTTTTTTTAAAACTTCAACAAATATTTCTATCCTCGTTTATTTTACATATTTCATTTAATATTTAAAATAAATCTCTTTCTATATATGTAAGAATATATTTTTTTTTAAGTATTATAAATCATAATATCCAGATTATTTATTTTAAATTAATGATCAATACTTATAATATTTTTTTTATATATTATTAGAAACACCGAGCCGATAAATAACGGATATCAAATTTGATCATTTTGTTTGTTTTATTGATCCACTTATAAATCTGTTTAGTTTAAATTTGAAAAACAACAATGGCCGATTATGAATCTGTTTGTTCGATTAATCGGTACTCGATCATTTATGATGTGTAACGCTGCTGCTGCTGCTGCATTGTTATTTTTAACGATCTATAAATAATTTTTCATTTATTTATTTTAGAAAAAAAAAACAAAGAAAAGAAACATTTTTGTAAAGAAAATTATAATTATTTCATTAAATATATAAATATATATAATTTCTACTGATCTGTCATTAAACAATTCCTTGAATGTTGTTAGATCGTTTAACCCGTAGCGAAAAAATAAATCGAATGAAAGAGAATAAGTCACGGAATTGATGATCGTTCAAAATGATCGTCAATTGTTTATCAAGATCAATATTGCTCGGAAAGTCACGTGTATGGTTGATATTAAACGTTCGTTCATTTATACGTAATCCTATATATACAATAATTCTTCTTTTAAATGAATGCAAAGTGGACGCCATTTTGAAAAGATTCAATATAATGGAAGAAAGAAAGAATTTTTATTTCTTTCCATATATATGTATTTGTTTCTTTAGCTACCATTTTATAAGATGAATTTATAAGATGAATTTATAAGATGAATTTATTCGTTTATTCTTTAAAAAATTCTTCTCAATAACATTTACGAACTACAATTCATTTATATTTTGTTCCTTTGTTTTATTTTCCAGACTCCGATAACGAGAGCAAAGATGGTTCCACGACACAAGAAAAGAAACATGGCCGCATATCTCAACCAATTAACACTATCGCGTACACGGTAAGTTATTTATTTTTATTGTTTCTTCTTTTTTCTGCTTTATTTAAACATTTGTATTTACAATGCTAAATGAAGATAATAACGGGGGCAATATATTTCATTGAATAAAAATAAGCAACAAAAAAAAACAGACATTTTATATGATGCATAAAATTATGTACCATAAATTGTGTTTATTCTACTTAAAAAATTCCAATTTGAATAATTAATTGAATAATATAGCTGTTTCATCAAAAAATTTCGATGAAAACTTGTACGCCATTTTACAACACGTTTTATGTTAAACAAGTTATTTGGGAAGGTCAAAATACTGGTAAACTGTATATATGTATATATGCATAAAAGAAAAGTAGTTTTGTAAAATTGTCGAGAAGGATGGTCCGTCATTGTCTTACTCGTGCTTCTTACCACTCGGATGGAATCCGAGAATCGGAGAATATAACCTAAATTCTCGAAGATCTAAGATTCCTTGAATGCGAACGATATTTGATCATTGGAAGCATCGAATAGATTAATCTTCTTACTTTCAATGAGAGAACAACACAAAAAATGAGAATAGAATTTTTAACGAATTTCTGAACAATTGTCTTTTAATAAAAATTATTAATCTTTTTCCCCCCCCCCTCCTCCTCCCTATATTTCTTCTATAATATAAAACGAAATTTATTATTTTTGAAAGGTATAAGGTATATTCTTGTACGTTTATATTTGAATCAAGAATATCATGTCAAAAAAATAGATACAAAGTATCATCAAGTATGCATAATACATACAAGACAAAATAAATATTTCCTTCGTTTTTCTCTAGATCCTAGATTTTTATTTTAGAGTATGTATATCATTTCTCTCATATAAAGGAAGAACTATACTTATATGTAACCTTTTTCCATCAAACAAAAGATTCAAGAGTTTTATTTCTTTTCTTTTTCCATATCCCTTTTCTGTATTTACTTATTTACAATTCGTTTCTTATATATATTTCTTGATAAAATATATTGTGGAAGAGAATATTTTCAATATGTTGTAAGACGTGAACTTTAAAAAACACAACGTTATTACAATTATTATTTTTTTTTTCAATCGAATTCTAACAATCAAATTAAACATAGAATTTTGAGGGTTAATTAATATGTTAAACAAAGCCTGGGATTTAATGCAACTACTACCATCTGTTCTTACGGTAACATATAACAATATCGTAATCGCCATTACTCGTGCATAATCCTGATGTTACTCTATAATCACGATCAGGAAATTCCCTGACCTATTAAGAACAGCTCATCCAGACTGTTTTGGTCCCTTTGACCTGGTTAATCGATAAATGTCTCTAATATGGTGATTCCTCTTATCTCATAGAAGCTGAGAAGCTGAATATTTGTAGAACTAACTAATCAACTGTTGAATTGATATACGTTTATTTTATGTTTTTTTTTGTTTTATATTAGATTAACAATTAACAATGTGAAATTTTCAATAAAACATATTAAATAAAACGTATCATTAATATGAACATATAAAGTATTGCAAATTCGAATGTTATGAATTAATTCGATATTACGAATATACGTACATATGCTTATCTTGCATATGGTACTCACCTAAGCATAATACGTAAACACCATAGGTGCACTTAAACGCACATAAACATAAAATATTATAAATTTGGATGTTAATCTAATATTACGAATATAACGTTTATTTTGCATATGTGGTATATCTACCATATGTAACATATAAATACCATAGGTGTATTTGTACGTATAATATATAACACACGTGCAAATGGCACATACAAACGCATACATATAAATACAACGTTTAAGACTCTCTGAATACCACAAATATGAGAAACGCGTGTGGAATATTAATTAACATACATATACACATATACATACATACATACATACAAACAGATATATTTATCTATAAATATAGGTATCTATCACAAAGGTATCTAAACCTTGAAATTCTTTAGATGAACATAACCGAAGCGTAATATACGAGTTGACCTAGTGAGAACAAAATCAAGGAAAAGAATAAGTAGTAGTGGGTTGTATATCGAAGGGGGGAAAATGGGGTGTATATGGATGACGAAAAGAAAGAAAGAAATAAAGGAAAAAGAGAAAAGATGATAAGCTCAAGGCAAGGGTAGGGAAAAAAGAAAAAAAAGAAAAAGAAGACACAAGAAGTTGAAATTGGGACGATCGTAGCTTTCTGGCTTTTCTTTTGTCGATGAGAAGGAGTCCCATCTTCTTCCCCACCCCCCTTATCCTCTTCCTTACTTCGTAAAATACTCGAGGAAAAAACCACCCCTGTTCATAGTTTCAGCAAGGATCACAGCAACTACAATCACCACCACCACCACCACTACCACCACTACCACTACAATTATCACCCCCTTCCCGTATTCCTTTAAAAAGACACGAAATGCGAAACAATACCTGCGGTAGCCAGTGAGTATACTTATATACTTTTTCTTCGTCTCTCGTTACGAAAAACATCGTACCTCTTTTTATCTGTTCCTTTAGGTTCTCATCAGTAGGAATTTAAAACTCTCTTTACTATCCGAATATTCCATGTATTCGAACAAACTATATTCAACTCTTGAATATCGTTTATTAATCCGAAAAATAATACCAAGTATTCGTTACTGTTTTTTTTTCTTCTCATTTATTTATTTAAATTAATGTTTATTGTGTTATACTAGGATTATCTCCCGGAATGAATACTCGTATGATTTCATTATGTAAACTTTATCCAAATCCGAAAATTTGTATTGTTCGTAATCAATGTTTGAAATTTGAATATCGTTATATTTTGTCTGTAATTGAATGATATGTTATATTTCGTACATTGCTCGGCTTATGGGTTAATACATGCGGAAAATTCTTGCCTCGAGTGCAAAGGGTTAATGTTTCCAAATGAAATGCGAATGTTTAACTAATGGGTAGAGTAAAAAAAAAAAAAAAAGAAGGAAAAAAACACATGTTTGTAACTTACAATTAGTGTTAATCAAAGAGAAGAAGAAAGGTGGTGAAAGATAGTAATTGTTATCTACGATTCAATCTATTTAATAGATTATTCCATGTATGTGTTAATATAATAGCATGTATATGTATCTATGGTACATATGTATGATATACACACGCATACCACATGTTCGTTCTCAAGTTAATTAATTGATTTACATGGAATACTCCGGCTACCAAGCCGAATACCCTCAAGGAATTTCCTCGAATTCCGTGAAATACACATATCCTTTTAACCCCCCCCCCCTCTGCACCCCCTCTCCGTTTCATTTACATGGTAAAAGAAAAGAGAAAAAAAATAAAATGGCAAATTAAGAATATCTAATTTGTTTCGAAATATTTACTTCCCTATTAATTTTTCTTTTTTTGTTTTTTTTTTGTATTTTTACACCGTTCGTTCGTTAAATTCGAGCAAAAATATTTCATTTAAATTTATAACTAAATTATAATCACACATCGTAAATCCGCGCGTATAAATGAAATAACATATTTTATTTGAATAATAATAATATTAATAATAATAAACTTATTAAATATTATTCCAAAATATTTTTTTTTACATACGTACGAACTTACGCTTCACCACATTATTAAAATGATACGAACATTTTTATACGTCCTAAGAATTTTGTTTGTTTTTTGTGACGTCAAGGAAACGTTTTTTTGAATTTTCTAATTTACTTTATGATTTCTTTGAGAATTTTACCAGGGAGAAAAAGAAAATACTCGCGTAAAAGTAAAACCAGTAAATTTTTTTTCTTCCGGTTTCGTAAACAGCCAACTGATTTACCGACCTTTCAACGTAATAATTTATATTTTATAGTAAGAAGAGAGAGAGGAGAAATAGTAGTAAATTTTATCCATTAGGTCGCATATATTATATTTTTCATGCACATCTTATGTGAACGCTTTTATTTTCTATCTTTGAATCGATACCATTGAAGCAAATATTTGACCTTAATCGAGAAAGAAATGTATTTCGAGAAAAAGAACAAAAAAAAAGTTCAACGCGCAAATTTTTTCTTCGAAAATTCACATAAGATTTGTTCGATTAAATTATTACCGATATATTACACATTTCTTTCTCGAGTAACAAATATGCGTAAGTATTGTGATTTAAAAAAAAAAAAAGATTATGATCGGGGAGGGGGAGGAAACGCAAGATTAATTATTTTTTTCCAATCACCATACATTCGTGTACTTCTGAATCATATTTAATATACTTTGCTAATATTATGTAAATAATATAGGTACTAATAAATATAGAATATTTTCAAGAGAAAAATCATATATTATAATATATAATATTATATATTAGGTGTGTGTGTATGTGTGTGTGTAGAAATTAATTTGATCACTTTTTAAAAAACAAATGTATTATATTTACACTCTAAATATATATTATAAATATTTAATATACGCGAATATGATTTCAGTGAATTTAAAAACAAGAAAATTCGATTAATTTAACATCACCAACGCTTCCTCCTATTATGTCAAAGTTTATTTAACGTACTTAAAAAAAAGAAAAAAGAAAAAGGAACATTTTATCAGAAAATAACGATCTCATTCCATAGGAAATTATCTATCCTAACTCGCCAAGCTCACAATGACTATATTTCGTCCGAATTCATTTCACGGTTCAATGAAATATTCAAAAATGAAACTGGGTAGGACGTTTAAGCACATCAAACATGTTAAAACGCTCACGATGAGGAACATCGGAATAATGTGAATACATTTGCAGTAACCCTCTTATCAGGAGACAGGGAGAGAGAGAGGGGAAGGAAGGATGAAAGAAAGAAAGAAAAAAGTTAATGAAGCTTCGAAGGGTTCACTGCGGATCGATAATAATCAGCTTACATACTGGTGTGTGTGTTCATTGATTTCTCATTTATGTTACGCACACGCATCGATTGTTTATACTCAACGTTTGATAACAATAACTTCGGGGCATTGATCATTCATGGAAAATGGCTTGTAGGGATTATTGATTAATAAAACCTTGGGGTTATCGTGCATTAATTTTTCTCCGTTTAAACCAATCCACTCTTTCTGTCTCCCCTTACACCCCTCCCCCTTTCACCCACACTTCGTTCTTCGTCCTACAGCTCGCGGCTATTTTCTTTCTTTCTTTCTTTTTTTTTTCTTTTTTTTTTTTTTATGTCATTTATAGCCAACATCTTTCACTGTCATGCAAAAAGAGTTTAATGATAAATCATCGAAGTAACTAATAATGTTATTACTTTAATACTACAAAAAGAAAAACAGGAGATGGTGGGGAGGGAAATAAAAAAAAAAAAAAGAAAGGAAAGAGTTTGTGGAAATTTTGTAAAAAGCTAGCTAACCAATAATACGTTCATTAGCTTTTTATTTCTGTGATTCGTTGGATCACGTAATATATTAGAATATTGTATATATGGTAGTAGTATTTTCGCGTACGTGATTAAATTAGATCGATACTTGCAACATTTCTATCGTCTTTCGCTTGTATTTTCATCATCGACTCGATAAAATGTAATAACAAACGTAACGTAATATATTAATATAAAAACGTATGAGAAATATATTGAAAATTATTGGGAATAATAAATACGATATTTATCTTGATTTCGAAAAACTTGAATTTCGAATGAAAAATACGAAAAGAGGAATGTAACAATTTGTACATTTAATTAAACACATATAGAACACATATTAAAATAATATAATAATTATTATTAAAAATAAAAAATAAAAAATATTATTTCGTAGAAATAAATGATTACGTCAGAAATCAATTGACGTGGTGATGATCGCGCCGTCGTCGTTGTTATTTTTTCATATATCTAATCATAATTTAGCTGCAAGTGTTGCGCGTTTGTGATTTATAGACCCCCGAAGAGAACTCTTGTCCTTTGAACATATGTATTATATTATGTATCGATCTATATATACATATATCTACCTATCTGTTTATCTGTCTCTCTCTTTCTCACTATCACTCTTTTTCCCCCTATCTAATTTTCTCTCTTTCTGTTAATTGTAATGTAGGTGGGCGACAGAGATACGCTTACGTCAGTGGCAGCTAGATTTGATACCACACCCTCCGAGCTAAGTAAACTCAACAGGCTTGGTAGTACCTTCATCTATCCGGGACAACAATTATGGGTTCCAAACAAAAAAGAAGGCCGTCCTGAAGGCGGTACCACAACAGACGCGCCCAGTCCAGATCCTTCACAGGATCACGACTCTCAGGACGATTTACCACCGGAAGAAAAAGGTACTAGTAATTTTGTCATCAATTTTCTTTTCCTTCTTTCTTTCTTCCTTTATTTTCTTTATTTCTTTCTTCTAGGTGGATTGAAATTAATTAATTAAAACCCCAAGTAAAGAATTTGCTAAGTTTCTTCTTTTCTTTTCTTTTCTAATTTATTTTTTTTCTTATTGTTTTTTTATTTATTGGTTTGTTTGCTTCAAAAAATAAAAAAAAAGAAATATATTATTAAACTCGATTGATATATCAAATACAAATTATTTATCCATTCGAATATTATTATTGTTAATTATTATGATAATATGAAAAAATAAACTCTCTTTTTCTTTTAATATGGATACTATCATATGAATAATGTAATAGAATTCTGTATAGTCTTCGTAAAGCTCAAGGTAAATCGGTGGCTCACTTAGCCAAATGTTGAGAAAGAATTGGAACTCGATGTTATCTTAGAATATGAACGTTCACTATTGCATATTAATACCTTACTGTTATAATAACGTAGTACGAATAAGATAAACGAAAGTTTTTATGTTTCGAAATTTTACGAATGAAATTCAATTTTGATTTCATCTATTACAAATTCTCCGTAACTTGTGTATCAATTAAATTTCTAAATAATTACATTTGCCATCACTAAATTCTACATTTTATATTTTCCATACGTCATCCAGCCCATTCAAAATCGAACGGGTTTTCTTTTTTATATATCATCAATTTCAAATTTTACAGTTCAACGATGATATGTTCTATATATTATATTTCTTATTTTATTTTGAAATATCTTTTTTCGCTGCCGCAGGCTGAGATACGTCGACGACAAAAACACCGTATGCTTTTAAACATTATGAGCCGTCGTAATAAATGATCTATGGCACTACTCTGAACCATTTGTCATCTGTTGCATATATTAAATATAGTATATATACAGAATATTTCAAAATGTGTAGACAAAATTTCAAAAGTGGTTTCAGTATACTGAAATAAGAGAACAAAAATGCATACGATCATATTTCCGAACCGTGGCTTTTTTTTTTTTGTATTACACTCGTTGTTGCATAATTTTCATAGAAACTTTTTGTTCGTAAAAAGATTTTCAAGATATAGAACCATAAAATTATGCCCAGTTATTTTAAAACACTCTCTATGTGATTTATAGTTTCCCATGAAGAGCGTATTATGATTAAAAACAATTTTCACGATGAGGTTTCTCAATGAAAATATTTGACGTAACGATCTCTACTTCCACTTCATTTTCTTGTTGTTTGATGAATTTTTGAAAAATGAAATATTTGTATAATAACGATTAATTAGTTGTTTTTTCATCGTAGTTTATGAATCATAGATTTATGTTTAATTAATCATTAGACAGGTTTGCTCAAACTCTCTGACATTACATTCAAAATAAATCGTATTACTGTAAATGCAAATTATAGCTTAATTTATCTCCGATAAATTTCGCGATATTATTCCAGGCTGTACGATCACGTTTCTACGTCCATTGATAGATAGGTCAATTATAAATGATCAATAATGTAGACACATAACAATCACAACTCTAATTGCTATTGGAAAACAAGAGTTTAGAATAATTTGTTTTAATTATATATTTCTAGCTTATAAATAACGTTACTATCTTTAACTTATTTATATAATAAAATATAAAATACAAGAATGGGTTGAAAAGCTTTGAGTCTCGAAAAACAAATTTTTTGTTTTTACATAAAGGTGAGTTTGACCAAAAATAAAATTGGTTTCTATGTTAGTTTCACAAATTTTCAACCCACTCATGTATAAATATTTATATATAAATAATTATTTGTTTTCTCACGTAATTTTTAATATTTTTCAGAACTACTAGACAATTTACGACCTGTATCACCTAAACCAGGCCACATCGAAAGAGTTAAGACTCCTCTTGGGAGTGGAAATGCTGTTATGGAAGATGACGAGCAACCATTTAAGGAAAGATTTTTGAAGATCAACGTACGTCATATTACAGATGGACAGGTAATTTATTTATCTAATTTATAATTATATATATTTTTCATTGAGATAAATTATTGAAGTAAATTATTTAATATTAAAATGATTTTTTTTATGATTTTTAGGGTGTGGTAGGCGGCGTATTATTGGTTACACCAAATGCAGTTATGTTTGATCCAAATGTCTCGGATCCTCTTGTCATCGAACACGGTGCTGAATCTTATGGGGTTATCGCTCCTATGGAATTTGTAGTTAATGCTGCAATATATTACGATATCGCTCATATGAGAGTGGGACATGCAAAATCTGGCACTTTGGAGAAAAAGCCTGATATATATTACATGAAAAAGCCTTCTCAAGGGGATAGTCAAAAATCTCAGTCACCAGGCAAAGATGAAACTTTTCCTGAATTGGCAGCTGACGATAACGAAAGTGTATGCAGTTGTGCAGAAAGAGAAGGGGATGCTTTTCCAAAAGCTTTTGATAGAGAACTCGTAACGCCTACAAATCTTCAAAATGTATGTGTAAATGAATTAAATGAATTAAATATTTTCATCTATGAATTATTTTAATTAAAAAACAATAATTCTATTTATTAGGACGATAATTTAGCGCCAACTAAAGAGAAGGAAGAAAAAGAAGAAAAGGAAAGTATTGTAAAAGAACCATGCATCGGTGGTCAAGGGAGTAGAACGTTAGAAGAACGTAGGAGATCGATGTTAGATCATCATTGGGCAGTTCCTAGCAAGGATCGAAGTACATTTTCGGTCGACGATGAACAACAAGATTCTTTAAATTCTGACAAGGTAAAGATTATATATAAAATATTATTTTTCATGAAAAATTCTCTCTCATCTAATTACATCAAAATAATTATCTATTATTTTAACAGACAGAATCAGCAAAATCCAATGCCATTCCTGAAAACGAGGAAGGATCTCTAGTCAAAATGTCGTGTCATGATTCTGGCATAGACATACGTGATCCCAACCCACCGCTTCCTATTGTTCAACCTATGCCGGCAAAAAAAGTATATTCAGATGCGGATATTGTTTTGTCTTCGGATTGGGTTCCACCGATAACAATAGCTCCAACTAATATCACAACAAGTTCATTAGATAGTGGTCCTACCATCAATGGTAGAAAGAAAGCTAGTTCGGTATCATTTAGTTTAGATAGTAATAACGAAGAACCTGAGAAGGATGAGGAACATAAGGACGATGATAAACAAGAATCTAGGAAAAATAAGGTATTTAAAAAAAGAAAACAAATGATTTATAGAATTGTAAATATGATCCTTGGTACTTGCATATATCTATATATTTTTCTTTTTAGATGTTAAAACGTTTATCTTATCCGTTGTCATGGGTTGGAATGGAAGGACTTACGGGTGACAGAGAAGACGAAAGTAAATCTGTGTCTGATAGAGTTTCAAGCTTGCCAAATAGCGCTGATTCACATCATTCATCTGTCTTCAGTAAAGTCTTCTCAAGGTGAACATATTTTCATATTATATTTTATCTTTTCTCTAATTATTTATTTTTACTAGTCAGCGTCTTTTTTTCCAATTATTATTGTAACATAATCTTCATAAATTTTAATATATACAAGATGTCTTGTAAGTGGTGATACAAGCGAGCAGTGATTTTACATGAAAAATTAAATTAAATTAATTTATATACTTGACCGAGCTTGCAATCCTGAACACTAAAAAGCCTTGTTCGATAAGTGTAGAAGTAGAACCAATATAAAAGTTATGTCATTATAATGAAAATATTTGTAAACACATTAAGAAGCTCAAACATGCTCTCTGAAAAATCCCAGAGTAGTGATATTTATCAAGCTGAAATTTTTCTCTAAAACAAAGTTTTATATGAAAAAATTGTATTCTACATTTTTAACTTAATTTTTCATGTAGAATTACCTCTTGCTCGCTTTCTACTACCAATTACGGGAAATTCTGTATATTATATATGCTTATATTACTTATTATCGTATTCAGCTGTCTTAGGATTATGTAAAATTCGAACAGATATATTATTATACAGCATATATTTCAAACAGGATTGATAAATTGGAACGCTGAAATCTGTCTTGTATGTTCAAACTTTTCTTTACAATCGCGTGTGATTGCTTTTTCGCAAATTTCTAGAAAACGTAGAATATACTTGAGGTTATTCGTTTGAGATTATGCCATTTCAAACGACATAGAAATATATATTTAATATTTTATCATTTAAATTATACGAAAATGAAATAACTGCATTACATTTCTGATGCAAAAAAATATATACAACGTGAATATCCTCAGGTATTATAAAATAGAATTAATTAGTAGTAATTTACGCATAGAGAGTGGCTTCCTGCATTTCTAATAAGCACTATGAAAATATATTTACTAAATAGAATATAACAAAAAAAAAAAAAGAAAAGACGAAGAAATACATATATCTGAAAATACGCAAAAGAAAAAGAGTTCTCAGTAGAGCGATTTCATTACTAACAAATTTTAATTGTTATTAAAAAAAAAGTGCTACTAACGTTTTGAAACTGATTATTCTTACGTAAAAAATTATTTCTTAATTTTCTAATTAAATTCTTAATTAATTTTAATATGAATGATCAATTTTAATACAATTCGTTGGAAGCTTTTTTGATTTCTAACCTTACTAACAATATGTAATGGTGGTGGTAAAAGCTCGCCGATCAACCTGGTGAGTGACTTTAGCTCGGGCCTCTTTGCTAAAACTCCCAGCGAAGAGAGTGGTGGGGGCGGTAGGGCTGGAGGAACACCTCCACTTATCGCCTCCTATCTCTCCCAGGATTCCGGCAATGCTCAATTTTCACCAGGTCCAGGAGGCCTAATTGGGTGAGTTTGATCCTGATCGTCACACGTATTATCGTATAAAATATACATTGGCCCCTCTATTCGTTTGTCAAAATGTGTGATTTCCTTAGTTATTTCTAATTTATTTTTGGTATTATACTTTTATTACATTTTTTTGTGTGTACTCGAGTGGAATGTTATAATATTATGTATAGTATTGTGTATGGTATTGACAAATCTCTTCAATTATTCTTCAACGATATCGTTATATTTATCGATAAGGTATTTTTATTTTATTTTTCTGTTAAAAATCCTTTATATATGTTTTAATATATATATATATGTCTCTATATATTATATTATGCTTATCGTATCATACACTTCTTTAACCTCTACCTTCGTATCTTTAAATTTGTATCTTTGTGGGATTAAGGGTCCCCCAGATGGTTCCTGCTTTCAGGTAAATGTGTAACATATCTCCAGAACTTTACAAGTTAATCAAATACAGCCTGCTATATAATTATTAATGCTTAACAAACTGCTTACAATCAAATACAATACATTATTAACACATTAAGCACAGCATTGATTTTTAACAAGTGACAGTGAAATTTTTATTTAGGCAATGTCATAATCCAATACTCAACAAGTGATCATTTCCTGAATGGAAAGCATAACAAAATCAGTTCTATGCTTAACGTGTTAATATACATTACATGTAGAGTATCTTGAAATAGCTACCAAGTTAGTTTGCAGCGTACACCGGACATAAAAATTCTATATTGGATCCTTCCTTGTTTCGATGTCAATGTTGTCAAATTTATATTTATTTAAATTATTTTAGCATTACGAGGATATCAATTGAATGTTATCATTGAATTAAAAAAAAAGATTAAAAAATAAAAGAAAGAAGCATTCATTTAATTAACACTCGTAATGTCTTAATAGAAATATACTTTTACAGAATGTAGTTTTATTCTTTATTTATTTTCCAGACGTTCTTCTGTTGGTACTTTCATCAGACAACAACCTCTAACATCATCAGGTAGTAGCAGTGTCGACAGTAGTCGTGGAAGTAAAACTTCAACGACACAAGCACCACGATTGGATTATCGCAGTATGGTTTCAGTTGAGGATATGCCCGGACTGTTTGTCAGTTTTGACAGTAAGTATCATTATGATTACAATGAAATATAAGTCTGGAAGTTATACATTCTTATCGGAAAGAATAACGATATTAGTCTTATAAAAACACATTACAATAAGATAGATACTTTTCCTTCTCTGACGAACTTTTTTCATTTACGCGATTCCATACTAGTTGGGCTAATTTTCGTAAGAACTTTGATATAAGAAAAAAACACATACATTTAACGGTAAGAATGGCAAACGGGAACTACGTGTTTCGCACTGCACTCGCTCGTTATATGCTAGACGGCTTTTTAGATAATGTTACGTTGCTAATGTTATTAGTGTCCCTTTGCATAAACATAGGGCGCTTTTGGATACAAAGAAATATTAAATTCATATGTGCGATTTTTTAACTTAAAAAGAAAAAAGAAAAACTTATAATAATACTTCTATATTAAAGATAATGTAAATAGACAGTAACCAAATGCGCTTATTTCATTCTATATTATCAAGTAGTTTTTCATATTCTATATTTTTGAAAGTACGTTTTAAATTATAGTTTTGAAATATGCTCATTTGTCTTGTTGGAGATTATATAATTAAGTGCGTTACAATTTTATGTCCTACTTCTTCTTCTTCTTCTATTTCTACTTTTTCTAATTTAAAAGGGTTATGAGACTTTAATGTTACTTATTACATTCCCATATTACTAAATCTTGTGTTATTTAATAAAATCATTTTACAATAACTAGATGGATAGAATTAAAAAAAAAATAAAAGGAAATAGTTACTTTACAATGTAACTACAATATCTAATTTAACAGCTAACAATATATATATGGTATTTATAAACAATTCTTGTAAATTTATCATTATGCAAAATGCTTTTTCATTAGATTACAAAAAATGTGTTAGGAATGCAAAATTTTCTTTCTTCGATAAGAAACATGATTATCTATCTGAGAATCTTGAAACCCTTTGTGCCATTTTATGTGTTTACGACGATTATGAACTGTTCATTTTATGATCACATAATTGTTATTACGATGTAATGTATTCTAACTTTTCGTATATAACATTAGTTATTTCTGAAAGATTACATTGTTTTTTCTATGTTATTCATATCGATAGTAATATGCATGAATGTATACCAATTGGTAACTTTATCATTAGCACGACGGGTTTCATCATTCATTAGCAAAAAATTCATACTAATGCAGTAATGTTACATGTTTTTGTTGTCCCTCTAGTCCAAGCACCTAATTTTCCTGAACTTGAAGGCCTCGGTAGGTTCATACTGTATTAGCTTGCTCTGTCCCTATTCTTGTGTTACAACCATCTATTTTAATAATCTTTGTTTTCTTTAACATTATATATTTCAGTTTAATTTTTATATTATTATTTCCTCCTTTACATATTGCCACGCAAAAAATTTTATTGTTTGCTGAGTTTTCTTTTAATGACCAACATTAAATTTACATTTCTATTTCCTTCGATTTGCTGCCTATAGGTGCACACTATTGTATATTTGAGAATATATCCGATCACTTACTTTATACTATAATTTATTATCGATGTTGTGTTGTTCCTTTTATATATACGTAACAATATCATGTTTTTCTACTTTTTATTTCAATTTTTTGAACTATCTTGATTTAGATATATATATTTGCCATATCATACGATATCTCTTTATCGAATTATACAAAGTGTCCTATAACTAGTGATACAAGTGAGCAAAGGTTGATTCTACATGAAAAACTAAATCAAAAATGTAGAATACAATTTGTTCATACAAGGCTTTGTTTTAGAGAAAAATAAGTTTCCAGATTTGTTGAGTACACATGTGCACTTGACTGAGCTTGCATTCCTGGAAACTAAAAGCTTTATATGAAAAAATGTATTTTATATTTTTGATTTATTGTTAGTTTTCATTAGTTTTCATGTAGAATCATCCTTTGCATGCCTGTTGTTTTACTAGTTACAGGATACCTTATATAAAATTAAAATCAGTATACATAATGAATTTTGTCTCTACGTTTCACAGATATATTATATATATATAATCACATTTTTTTTTGTTAGTTTACATGCAATAATTGTTGTTTTATCGAACTACATAGTTTACATATATATTTATCATTGGCTGTGAAGAAATTGAATTTCAATTATCATATATACATATATATATATATTATTAATTATTGGTGTTAGACATAATACTTCACACATTTCCGTGCATGGATTTATTATAAATATGATTCAATATTTTATTGTAAAGTGTGCTTATTTTTTCCTTTTTCCTTTCTCTCTCTGTTTCTCTATTAAAAAAAAAAATATCTAAGTAATTATAAAGTTATATGAAACGTTTTTAGTGTGATATTTCTTATTATACAGATATTCAGCTTAATACTGAGAGGACCAGTTTATTAAATTAATCGTTTAATTCGATTACGCAGTGTTGATTTTTCTTATAGCTATTTTTAAGATGAAACATTAACTGTTTTATCATACAGAAAAGTGTGAGGACCTTTCTCACACACACACATCTATTGTATATAAACTAATCTTAAATAACACGAATTTGTTCATTTTTTATATTCGAGAGGATTTTTCTTAATGAAAGTACAAAAAAGCTATTATAATATCTTTCAATAATATTACGTTATTTATATTAATTATAATGAAAATATTTTTTTCTTCCAATTATATAGAACTGATACCAAGACCAGCACGATCTTGTGAAGATCCACCATTGTATTTGAGACTGCGTACTGGAAGACCCAAAGATAAAAAAATACCCCGATCTACACCTATTATGAGTTATGGCAAGAAAAAACTGCGTCCTGAATATTGGTTCAGTGTTCCACGTAATAGGTATGATATATTTTTACTATAATCTATAATTTTTCAAATTTATCTAACTTGCAGAATATTATGGTAAAAAGCATGCCTAGATCATAAATTAAATTGATTAGTCAATTAAGAGAATACACATTGAGCGATGAATATTAATGAATCAAACTGCATCATAGAACGATGAAAAAGAACTCAAAATGATTTTACATTTCAAATACAATATTGGAACAAAAAATAAAATAATAAGATAATTAAGAAAACGTGTACTGAAAACAAGAAAAAGATATTAAATGCATAATTAGAAAAAAGAATGTAAAACTTTCAAGCAAGTAAATTATAGTACCATTGATTAGAATGTGTGTTACACATTTGTAACAAATAACTAAAGAAGAAAAAGAGTATAAAGATAAGTGTTTATGTATATGGCGTAACCTTCGAAAGTGCATGTGCACGTTTCTATCAGCAACGTTAGGGTCACGTGACCATAGCCATGCACCAATAAGCTGTTAGTTATTCCTAGAACATAGTCTGACGTATCTCCCTAAGTTCTCCGGAAGTTTCTCTGTTGCGTGCGATGATCGGTCGACATTACGGTAGCGGGATAAAAAATTAAAAAGTAAAATACAAATAATAATAATAACAATTGATCGAATAAGTTAATCGAATAAATAAATCGTTGACATCGGTAGCGTTCTCTGTATGTGTTATCGAAAATCGTGCATTAATATTCGTTAGGTAATCAAAGTGAAAAGATAATGATAATCTCATCGTAATGACTTTTGACGTATTTAGAGGTTAACTTTCGATCATGTGACAAGCGTGATTCACGAAGCGCGCAATTTTAAGTAATTATTTTCATTATATATAAATGTTCGTTTGTTACTTCAATATAATCGACATGTTAATTTGTTTTTATTTTTGTTTCGAAAATATATTTTTGCGTACCAAATTGTATAATTTTAGAAAAAGATAATCATATTATTTTTTTTTTATAAAAATTAGTTTTTTTTTTCTTTTTACACATATCTAATTAAATTTCGTTTCGTATCTTTAATGCAATAAAAAATTCTTGCGTAAATCGTTTGAAATTTTAATGCGCAAAACATTCGTGAATTTATGTGTATATATATACGAATATATATAGTAAAAAGTTAAAAATGAGTTGGATGCTGAGTAGCGTTGGCGGATTCGTCGATGCGATTTATAATAATCAAGTAAAGAATACTGTGAGAAGGGCGATGCCTTTCTTTTACAACAGGTAATTTTATATTTATAATTAATAACAATTTAATTGTTTTATTAATTATCGTATATTTATCTCTAATGTACGTATAATTGATTTTAATGATGTAAACAAAATCGATTAATTTAGATTGTAATTATTAATTATTTGAAAATCCCAATATTTGTATAGAAATTTTGATAACGATTACAATTATTATAAAAATCAAAGATCCCGACGTTTGAATAGAAATTAAAAATTATATTATAATTATTATTGATTATTATAAAATATGTGTTCGAACGTTAGATTAATAAAAACAAAATTTTTTTGTCTTGTAGGGTGGATGATCTTTATAGGTTTATTCACGCGTGGGTGCCTAACCTTTATGGTGAACTCGATGAAAATTATTGGAGGGAACGTGGGTATATTTTATCTGACACCGACACAGATTTATCGCCTGAATTGACAACACAGGAATCTGGCGAAAGTGGAGAATCAACCGAAGAGGGGAAGGCACGTAATCAAGATGGCGATGATATATCCGAATTAACGAGAGAATCTTGGGAGGTGAGTCTTCTTCTTTTAACATTTTCAATCAATTTGATTGAAGTACAAAAATTCTACTTATTTTATTTATTTATTTCAACATTTTCTTGGTCTTTTACCAGAGCAAGTGTTAATATTACGATTAAAAGTCATCGAACTTATTTTTATGCTTAATATAAATATGATTGTAGGTTTACACGAAGGGTACAGGGATAAAAAAAAGCGTTTCATCGTATTTAAAACAATTTGTAATCTTTACAAATTTATATAGTTTTATTTATAGGAACAATATTTATTCTATTTTTTTACAATTTGAAATATAAATTAATATATATAATCTCAGTGTTAACGTGGATAGGATCTAACCTTTATAAATATATTTTTTGTTTAAATATCTTAACCGCATACCAATGACAACATTATTTTTATCAATGATTTAATTAGAAAATTAACTTTCTCTTAAATACCGGATAGTAATTGAAATAAAAATAATTGTATAATTTTGACCGAACAAGGTTTTAATCCTGGACCCTTCATGTTTTTGTAATAATTAAATTTAATATTTAAAATATTATAGGAGTTACATTCTCGAAAATAAATGTTACCAACGATTAATTACAATGTTCAACGACTTCGAATGATTAATTGTTCGTTGGACGTATCACCTTTTAAATAATTCACCTTTTCTATTTCTATTTCTTTTTATTTTTATGCACCGTATTTCGTTTTAATGAAATTTCTCTTATTAAGTCACACATTAAGTGTTGTATTTTTAAAATCAACATGTTTTTTCGAATACGTTTAAAGATACATATTAATTGTATCTAAGAAATAATCTTCTCAGGATCTTCACTCTTTGTATATTAAATCCATTCCGATAATTAAAAGAAAAGTATATAACATAGTTATTTCGATCTTAATGATCGTCGCATCGATAAGGAAGGTGACGATCTTATCTACATTTCCCATTGATGAACTGCAATTATTGTCAAAGATCGTCGAATTTTCTCGAAAATATCATTGTATGCTTAAATATTTTATTGATATCGATAATCGTCTGAGAAGAATATATTACGATTAATAAAAATACAAAAATAAAACGTGTGGGAATTTTATTATAAATTTCTTTTTTTTTTTCTTCTTCAATTTACATATAAATTCTCGGGATGTTAACGGGTTATATAATTTTTTCGAATGCCAGTAGTGTTTTTTATTGTGACGTCTTTTAGATTCTATTGAAACATGTGTTAAATTATTTGTCTTAAATATATATAACAATAACACACGTTTGTTTATGTACATGTAATACACATTCATATCGATATATATAAAACAATGTAAGCCGGTCACACGTGGGATCTTTAAATAGTTTCAATAGTCCTCTTGTATTTTTCACGTCCTTGAACGCAAACGTTACTCGTATCTTTCTCGTTGTATGTATTTATAAAAGTACAGAGAGACATGCATATCATTATCAACCTACATCGCGTTAAGAGAACACGTAAAATATATTTTTCTCTGTAATATAATATTCGATTAGATTTTCAGAACTTTATTTTTAACGCAAATAGTAATTTTCTTAATAGATTTGTTTTAGATCATTTACAAAATCGATTCTTTTATTTTCTTTGTCCCTATTTTACGATATAAATTAAATGTAACAATACTTGCAATGTTAATCTCCGATTGATCGATTGTAAGCTTTCGTTTTTCTAAGAAATTGTTAATTCGTCGTGTTAAATAATTCCAATTCGGAATTATTTGAATAACTGAATCTATCGATGCGATGATTGATTGATCGTAACAATAAATAAAAAAAAATAAATAAAAATATATATCAATTAATTAATCGAATAAAAATATATCAATTAATTAATCGAATAAAATAAAACAAAAATGAAGAAAGAGGGTTGTTTAAAAATGGCCGATTATTGTAAATGGCTAACAGTTGATCAAGGCCCCCTACGTAAAGCTGTACGCCATCCTGAAGACGTCAAGCACCTCGGCTGATTCCGAGCAGACTCAGGACCCGGAGGTATCGATATCACCCCCCTGCCCTTAAATCCTCAAAGTCCACCATTTTTTGATGTCTTTCATAGTCGATCTGCACCATTGATTATGCTCGATTTACGCACCCTGTATTAAATATTTATATATAATTGGCAAATATATATATATATATATATATTATATATTTGTCAAACATATTATAGCACGTTTCATTTTCTATTTAGGAAGCATCGCACTGTTACTACAACTACTACTGCAACAACAACTATAACTATACTGTTCAACGATATTGTTTAACCTATGAACTGCTGCTATTTTATTCTCGTTCGAATATATTAGATTGGGCCAATATAAATTCATGTAATTTTTTTTTTCTGATTACAAGTATATTATTAAATATTATTAATAAATAACACGGCAAAAACCACATAGACTTATCAGCTAAACTAGTATACTTTGTATTCTTAAACGTGAATCCCACGCGTATTTTCAAACTTGCAGTTAATGGGTTAACTTTTCATACTGTTTTCATTCGAACATGTTCGATTCTCAAATCAATCATCGACGACATCATCATTATCATCATCATTATATACTTTCACATCGTATATATTTATTTTTACTATCAAGAAACACGACGAATATTATTTCATCGTGATTTAATTAACGATAGAAATATTAGATCCTGATCAGTGTTTCTTTAAATAGAAACTATACATATATTTACTTGAATTCTTTTTTCGGACCAACGAGCGTGAAATTTAAAAATAATTTTTTGTATGAATCATACGATATTTATATATCCTTCGTTCTGCGTTCACAAAAACGAAGATGCACATTTTATAAATAGAAAAATTTGCTCGAAATTTACTTCATCGTCATCTCGAATATACTTCATTTAATCTCTTTTTTCTACTTTTTTTTTTTTTTTTTTTTACTTGTTTACATTTTTTCATAAATTGCATGTACAAAATTGCTTGCTACTTCCTGATACGTTAATCGTTTAGTATGTTTCCTTTGATTAGAGATTAGAACGCGTGTTAATCTTCGTAAAGTAGATTGAATGGCATGGTGCACGATTCCAAATTTTTCATTCTAATTTTTGTTTGGATTTTTCTCTTTTTTTTTTTAATCATATCGAAATATATATATATATATATATATATATATATATATATATATTAATTCCATTTTATATTGTAAAACTGAGTATTTAATTGGTCGGAATCATTTATTACCATTTAGAAATTCTAATTGTAAGGCTTAGTTTTTTGTTTATATTTCATATACAAATTATATAAAAATATAGATGAATGCAATAAAATAAAGAAAGTTGTTTAAATGACGATTACTTGAAATTTAACAATAATAGTATTTAGCTAGGAATATTTTTAAACTTTAATAGGAGAAAGTTAATATATTTCAAACACGTACAACTACAGTATACAAAGTATTACTTATAGTTAGTAAAATTTCTTCAAACTTGTTTCTTTCGTTTAAAATTGTATTTCATTTTTGTAGGTATTTAATTTGTCGATACGGTCGTTGTTAATTTTTTAAAAGAAGGTTTTCGTTATGTGAGAACAAAATAAAATTCAAAACAAAAGATCAGGCAGAAATTTGAAAATTCTGGAAGTTTTCGAGTTTAATGAACGTTTGGTATTTGTCATTGAAAATTAAACGAGTTTCAAAATGCTTTTAGAATATCACTGCTCTGAATCAAATTTATTTTCGATCTTACGACGTGTATGAGTCAGCCGAGTTTTCTTTTCTTTTTTCGTCGAGGCTTAAAACTTTTCGTACTCAGTGTCTCGTATATAACATTAATTAAATAACTAATAATATATACACACAATACGTGATTTAATAATTTTTTATATTTATTATTATTATTATCTAAATTCGGCAATCAAAGTCAATTAGTTTATACCATACGTTGTATTGATTACGTGAAAAAGATAAATCTGAACACTTTTATTACTTTTTTCCTAAAGTTATATGCATTCTTTTATTTATTTATTCTATTTGATAAAATTAATATTTGTATTATATAATGTAGCCACGTACATTATAAAAATTATTATAAAAATGAAAAGATGAAGGAGTAACATTCGTATTAGTATTTAGTTATTAAAAAGTATTAATGTGTGTGTAGTAATAAAATAAATTAGATTTGGTTATTTTATTTTATTTCTTTTTTTTCTTCATAGAGATTGATTTATTTAATTAAATAAAAATATAATTTGTAGGCGTAGTTGTGTGTATTAGAATTAATCGAATGATCGAGAAAAGAAAATTTTCGAGCAAGAAGATTTGTTAGTCGAAAAGTTTCGAAGAAACGGCTCGGCCAATTTTTCTTTTTCTCCTTTTTTTTTTTTTATCTTAAAATTCTCACGTCAATTCGAGGACACGTTCGTTTATTTCGCGTTCTAAATATTCAACCTTCGTACTCGTATTTAGGCTCGTTGCCAAAATTTGTCTTCATTCATTTTATCACCCAAAAGACGCGTTTTTATTATTCGCCGAAAGAAACATTTACCGGGTATAGATTATGTTTCAACTTGTTGCCATCGTGGCAACTAGATTTTTGAGTAAGAAAAAGAAAAAAAAAATTGCTCACCACTCGTCAATGGATTTCTTTTCTAAAATTATTCGCATACTTATTTTCGTTACGAAATGCGTCATTTCTTTTTATCGATCTTCTTCTTCCGAGACTCGAAATTATTTACGAACGAATCGATATAATTAACATTTTTTTTTATACCGAATGTTTTTTCATCGCTAGTATTTAGTAAATTTTTAACGATTGAAACAAATATTTTCGAGAACACAATTGCGTCATTAATTTAAAATATAAATAAAATAAAATAAAAGAATACACAAATAAAAAAAAGTCAAATGACTCGTGAGAATTATTTTTTTCTATAAAATATTATTCTTTTTTCCAATATTAACGAAAAAGGTTTCTTCGTATTTGGAGAGAAAAAAAATATTTTTGCAGTTGAACGTTTCTGACTTTATTTAACGAAATCTTTAATACAAGCAATTTAAAAACAACATTTCGAAAGATAAATATTTCATTTGATGACGTATTTTCCATCTGAGATACTAATTACACGTGAACTACCTTTACGTGATAGTGATTAAAAATATGGACAAAAAAGAAAAAGTATAGGAAAAAAAGAAAGAAATATTTTATTGTTAACCAATAAATATAATAGAATCGAACATTATAAATTAATGTTTTTATTATTGAAGATTAACTCATTACCATGACCTAAATAAACACAGTCATTACGATAAGTACAAATTATTTGAACAGTCGTATATGCAAATTATTGTATCATCCAGATCATCTTTAATATATGATGTATTTTTTTCAGTGTGCATTTTTATAATATTCAATTAAATATTTAATTAAATTAATTTAATTTATATATATATCGATTCTGATAATTGTAAGATTAAAAAATTACGAAATACATTACGTTTGATTTCTCAATATAATCATTAAAAAAAAAATTAATTAATAAAAAGAATAAATCGATATCACGCTTAAATCAACATATTTCGAATATCAGAGTTATTTTTTCTTTTTTTTTAAGTGGAAAAAAAGAAGAATTATACGTGAAACTTTCACCGTAAGGTTTACGCAATATTGTCACCTCTATTGTTCAAATAATGAAATAAGAGATAAATAATTTGTCAAAGGCAACACAAATGTTGTATTGTATATTTTCCTATCACAAGAAAATAAATTTCTCTTCGAGTTTGACGTTTTAAATATAATCGTAAAAAGAAAATAAAAAGAAAAAAAGAACAGAAAGAAAAAGAAAAAGATTGATTATTCTTACATAAGTTTGTGTGCATGTTGTATGTATAGGATGGTACTTTAAATAGAAAGTTGTTTTTCTTGTATGGAATTCGCGTAAATTTTCACGTCTACTTCATAAATATGTATATCTATGCGTGAATATTTAAATAACGTATAAATGCCTGTATTTACATATTCCCATATGTTTCTTATCCAATAATCTTGAAACTTTAACTATATTAATGCTATTGGTTTTAATTCATTTTTTCTTTTTTTTTTTTTCGTTCTATAGAAAATATACCATTGATAGAACAAATTGGAACTATAAATTTAAACATGTTTCTTTATTTCACCATTTCATTATTTTTTTTTTATTAATTTTTTTTTACTTTTTTTTTGTTCCAATCTTCAATTATTCAAGATTTTTGTAACATGAAAATATCATTCACTTTATGATCACACGATTATATTTTATTTCTTTTTTTTATTTGGAATATTTTTAATTTGATTCTTGTTATTTCTTTTTTCTTTTTTTTTTTTCTCTTTCTTATCATGAAAACGGTAAAAACTGAAGAATTTAAAACTTGCAAATGAAAACTTTTTATCATTCTAAACGTTTCTTTCAATGATAGCTTTTAAATACGCCACAGTTTATAAAATGAGAATTCAAGAGACTTCTTCATTTTGTTCTGTCTCTCTCTCTCTCTCTCTCTCTCTTTTTCGTTTATTTTTCTTATTTTTTTTTCTTTTTTTTTCTTTTTTACAATCATTCGATGTTGATCCAAGGTCCAGGCATCGTTTTTTCTGTTCGAGCACGTTCGATAAAGAACTGCGTAACTCTCATTGCGGTACGAAAACAAAAAAGAAACACAGAGATTTGTTTAAATTCCACGTATTTGATTCAAAAAAGAAAAGAAAAAAAAAAGGGAATAATATCTTTTTCATTGAAGCATCGCGCGCGAGAGAGAGAGGTGTGGAAGAAAAATTATTGATGATTTAATCAAGATCGATCGAACATTTTTTTTTTCTTTATTTTTCATTTTATTAATTAATTAAATATCTTGTACGTGCGACGTAATACATAAACGAAACTTCCTGTGAATGAAAAAAAAAAAAAAAACGGAAATAAACGTAAAATTTCGTCGAATTCGTTATTTCATAGAAGATTTTGTTTAACTCGTATTTATATTTCGATCAAAAGTAATACGATT